GGTTCAACTAAGTAAATGATTTATTCTTACTTATTTCCATTGATTATATGGGGTGATTAACCTAGTCAGTTGAATTAAATTTATGTGAAATCCCCTTTGCACTTCTTTGCAGAGGAGGACAAAGGTTTGTAGAAGAAAAGAGTTACTATATTCACTATTCATCATTCCTACAGGAAAAAAAAGTATATATATAAATATATATTTCAGGTTTCTTAAACTGAGAAGCTGTCCTCCTCAAGAAACACCACTTTGTGGTAGTGGCTGGAAGAAGTAAAAAAACCAACCAACCAAACAAACAAAAAAACAGTAAAAAAGTCTGACTAATAGTAGCTCACTCCTTGAAGCCCAATGCAGGAGATAGAAATCATCTGATTGGAAAAATCACAAATCCCATAATTTAAGAGGAATGTTTACTACTCTTCTCCTTTGAAATTATCACAGATCTTTCTGATAAAATATGAAATTGCTGAGGAATAATTCCAAAGTTTTAAGGACCCATACAGCCTTGTGGAAAATTCCACTGTCACATCTCATCAGAAAAAGAGAAGCAAAGTACTGTCTTTTACTTTTAACTCTGTGAACCTCAGCTTCTTAGGAAGAAATCCAAGAACTTGGAGGATTCTAAGCGTCCTGCTCTTGATACAAAAGGTGTCAAATATGAAAATGCTCTCACTTTCATAGGGAAAATCTTGCAGAAATCTATGAGGAATGAGATATTCATCTGTATACAATCTGCAGTGCTCTTCCCAACTACTGAATTGGCTGGCTCACAATTGCGCTGGCAACAGCTTATCAGAGAATGAATGCCTTTTCCTTCCGTTGTTTCAGTTCATCTTTAAACTGGCCAGTCTTTGGTGAATTCCTAGCTTAACAATTCACTATATCTCAAAAACATCTGACCCAATGTATACATGATAATCCTATCTCCCCTCTGAGTAAGTCATATCAGAGCACATCTTCACTGAAGTAGATTTATCACAGTAAGCTCAACCACTCACATGACAGAAAATAGATACTACAATTTTTGCTCAATTAAGCTACTCAGTACCTTCTCCGTATAATTTAGCTGTCTTCTAACTACCAATGAGTCTCAAGTGAGGACATGAGAAGTCTAATCCCATCAGCTGATTCACAGAAATATACCTAGTGAAATCAGTAATGTGACATTTTTTGTTACTACTAAGCAAAGCTATTTCTCTCATCAGAAAGATTTAAGAGTATCTCTTTCTAGTCTTTAACTCTTTTTAACTCTTTTTTTTTTTTGTTAAAATGGTTTTCTCTGGATGGTTTCATTTGTATGAAAAGGAGAGAGCTGTTACTTGATCTTTCTGGCCCTGACAAAAAAGATTAGGAAACAGCAATGACGTTATCAAATTCTGGACCATTCTACGCTCCAACTTCATTTGAACATTCAGTCCTGGAATCAATCTTGTGATAGAAAATGGCTTACTTCATAGTTCGTTATGAACTTTTCAGTCATAAGGACATATTTTAATTTTTACTGCAATCTAATTTTGAGCCATTAATGATTTGGTGATTTGAGACAAGGAACAGTATCAGGGGAAGCACCATAAAGGCCAGTGGTCAGCCAACCTCATAAGCTCACAAAAATCCTATGGCAAGAAATCAGTCACATTCTGCTTTAAAGGGAACCTTCCTTCTCTCCCCCCGCTCCTTCCCTTCTATTTCCATCTTCTCACACCATGCTATGATTTCAGGTTACTGTCTTAGGGAAGGAAACAAAACAAAATTAAGGAAAAAAAAAAATCAATATCTTGTTTGGATATAAATAAAGAACTGCTTTCCTTTAGCACTGTCTATCACATCACTGTGGGACTAAAAATATTTATACAAATCTCTGCGTTTTTACAAAAAAAAAAAAGTAAATTATAACAATAGCAGATTTCAGGAATTTTTCTTACTTGCCAACTTTGGAACAGAGTATACAGAAAAATGTATAACAAAAAAGACTGCAACCTTTTTTTTCTCTTCAGCTACACAGAAAGCAGGTTGTCTTATTTTAAAAGAATAATGTGTAGGATACAATTTTAGGAAATAATTTTGAAGAATATTGCTTCTCATAAATGTGACACTACCCTTAAACTCGTGTATTTAAGAGGTGATAAATTTCATCTAATAGTCAGTGGAAAAAAAAAAAAAAGATGTTTAATATTAAGCAGGATAGTCACTGAAGTAATGTTTTGTTAAATAATAACTAGCAATATGGAGGCTAATTTAATTAATCATTAGTAAACAATAATTATTAAATTACATAGGAACAACAGATTACCTGTAAATATCATCCTCTGAAAGCTACAGTAAAGAAAGTAATCTTGGTAGGAGTGTTATTAGTAGTACACTGGCTGATTGCTTTCAGCTACAAATTGCAAAGATGATTCCCATCCTTGTACCCTAGTAATTGTCAGTAGAGTGAATGCCAGACTCAAAATGTGTGATTTGAGAATCCATTGATCAGCCTGCACGAATGAATACATATTTAAACACATAGTATCAGTATCTACATGTGCATAATTGCTGCTAGCACAGCTGCAAATCATTGTAAAAATATTTGTTTTAGTCCAAAGAAAGTAAATTTCATTTTAAAATCTTGGTATTTTGTTGATCCAATTACATGACACCATTGCAATGGCTAAAACTGGGGGCTTTCTGCTCTGATTTTGAAACACTTCCAGTGTTAATTCTTCTGGAGAAAACAAACCAAGCCAAAAAGCCAAACAGAAGTAAGAAAACCATCTTTGTTATACATAATTCAAAATTTAAACAAGATTTATTTAGGGAATAGATTTTAAGTATCTCAACAAATGCATGGATATTCAGCCAGTAAGAGAAAGCTATTCTGTCCTTACAGAAGTGGTGCTTTACTTTTGGAATGAAAGAAACATTTTGATATCACACAACATATTATAAGCCATTTCTCACACTTTCAAAATAAAAAACGTCTTGTCTGCTGAGGCATACAAAGCCTAGCATTGATTTCAGTAACATCACTTATAGATATTGCATGGCTTTTCTTTCAAATTTGCTTAAAATTAAGTTTGATGCACTTGCTGTTCCTACAATTACATTATCCCAGTAGTAATGTAACTGTATAGCTGCTAGGTTGTTAACTTACCTGATTGTACTATGTTTATGGACATTACTCAAGAATTATATACCACAGAAATTTTGTAACTACAGTTTAAAAACCTGAAATTCTCAGATTAGCTAAAAATACAGAGTATGAATACAAATATTTTCAAAAAAGGTACATCTATAAAATCTGCCTATGAATAAAGCAGAAAATATATGATATTTCAGCTTTAATCTTTGAGAGGCTTTTCTAACTTTGAAAAAAAGCACATTACAAAATGCTGAGGAAACTGTTATAAAGGCAGACCTCTTTGCCTAGGTAATGCAGAACAGATGTTAAAATTCTCATTGCTGTTTCCCTTTTCTACAAACTCCTTCAGAGTTTGTGTGTGAAAAGAGAAATATAATAGGATTTTTTTTTTAAAGTTACATTTACTTGTAATTTTAGCACCAGTAAAAGGCTGATGTGATCAAATCAACGCTGTAACATGCACTTTGAAGCCCAAAGGACTTCCTTCCTAAAGCATCAGTAACTGTTCCACATCAGCCACAAGTACTCAGAGCACTAACATGGTCCTTTTCTGCATAAATATGCTTCTAAATAATTTTCCTGTCACTCCCTCACTGCTGGATCTCACAGACTGTGACAGCATCTCTTTAAGAGAGAGGAAGGAAAAATCTGAACTTTGCAGTCTTTCAGATGATGACCTGCTAATAAGGTCCTGCACAGACCCATCACTGAACCAACTTCATGTTTATCATCTTTCAACCTGATCCTGATGCAAATAAAAGAAGTGAGGCTTGAGTTTGCTTTAAAAAGATTGTTCTCCTACATCACCTGACCAGATAAATGGCATTTTTTACACTGTCAGTCAGAATACTTACTAGCTGGATTATGTTATCGTAAAAAAATGAAGGTGACCCATGGGTGTTGTAGAAAAAGAAAGCAAGTCCACTGGCTGAGTATTACATGATAGGGGTTTAGGATGCCGCTAAAGTTATTGCCCCTAAACTTAAACCTGGTAATTTTCTAGATTTTCATTTGAAAGTGTCTTACAGAAGTTTTGCATGTTCATTCTTAGGCTAGAAAGAAGAGAAACAATTTGCCTGGTTGGTCAAATTCCAATCTGGTTAATAGAATGGTTTTTTTTTTTCCATGCTGCTAGCGTGATCTTGCAATATTAATTGTTAAGGTGCCTAGAGCCCTTATATATGCATCTTTTTATTATTTAAATATTGAAATAAATAAATCATCTCACTTAAGCAACTAGCAATTCAGATTTGTAAGAATTCTTTCATTAATTTTGATAGTGCTGAACCCTAGATATGTTCTAAGTCTCCAGAAAAATAATTCAGTGAGTAGTCTCTCGTAATGTCTAAATATAAATACCTCAGCTGTAAGAAATCAAAAGTTATCTAGATATTTTTCATTCACTGGGTTTTTAAATATCTAATGATGTTTCAAATGCTACACCATAGAAGTCAGCAGTTGAGCGTGGCTAAATAATAATTCAAAATTACAAGAACATATACGTATATATACTAAGCTTGCACCCCAGAGGAAATATTTCACAGAGGTTCAGGAAAAAAATAAAGGGGGGGGGGGTGGTGTGAAAAAGCAAAATTTCAAATATAATTACTGACACAATCTTAACTATAATGTTGCAAACATGATGTAATACCTTGGTAAATACACAAATTAATAAAGCCAAGGAGTTAAATGCTTTGATACGCTTAAGATCAGGAGAAATGATCCATCACTATTTAATATCAGCTTCAATTTTTAAATGCCAAGTTCCACTAAAAAGGGTAGGGCCTAGGGAACTTTAAATTTATATGATTATGACGACTAGAAACAAAGGAAACAATAAACTTATGGATGTTAAAATGCCTTGAAAAAGCCAACTTACGCCGCAGCTTCTTGTTTTGACAACCCTTTGATATTCTTCGCCAAATAATCATCTATGCCATCTTTGTCTTTGATCAAGTGAATCCTAAATTTAAATGAAAAAATTAAAAGAAACACTGTGAGCTGCTAACACAGACTTCCGTGGCATGTATAATATATTAGCATTGCCAAGTAGAGCTAAATACTGAAATATTGACAAAGTAATGTTTTCTATAAAAACATACAAATATCTTTTTAATTTTTTGGTCTACAGTCATTTCAAATCCTTATTTCTGCAAGAAACTAGAATTGGCTTAGCTTTCAAGCACTGAGTTACACGGTATTTCTGTCTAAACCTGAAGAAGTTGTATATTAGCTGAATAAGTAATAACTGATGCTGTATATTAGCTGAATAAGTAATAACGGATAAAGCCACCAATATTTGAACTGCTTTCTAAATCATCACATTTTTTGCATTATTGCTATGGACCAACGTGGTCTAAGCAATTGTGCATCTAAAATTTCCAAAAAATAAAATAAAATAAGTAATCCCAAACCCAGCTCAAACATATTTACTTAGTGCAATGCACACGTTTAAGCCTTTTCTCTGCTGCCCACAATTTGAGCAGCACGTTACAAAAAGAGGTCCAACAAAGTGGCACAAGGCACTGAAAGAAATGGGAATATTCCTATACATTTATTAGTGCAAAGATCTGATTTTGAAATTTGAACCATACTTCACATTTTATTTAAGCCAGCATTGCTACTCTGAGACACAAGAGATGTCTTGAATTTTAAAGGATATGCACTTCCTGATCATAAAGTCTACTCAAACAGATTCTTATAACCCAGGCACAGACGACATTATCTTCATAAAAATAATGTGATTTTTTTTTTTTTCTTTAAAAAACCATAAAGATTGTCTGGTTATCACTCAAAGATAAAAGAAATTCACTATCAGTGTTCCACATAAATCTGTAACTTTTTCTCTGCCTGTATGATAGTGCTGACTTTCGTTACAGGTATGAGAGTCAATTCTTTTCATAATGTTAGCTAATACAAGCAATGTACCCTTCACTGCTCTGAGAATACCACAGACACTTTCTGAAATTCATTTAAATGAAAACAAAATAGCTAAGCAATCTAGAGATATTTTGACGTGTCTGAATTTCAAATAATAAAATAGTGTAAACCTGTGGCACGAACAGGGCATTTAAATTTGTTCCCGAGTTTACTGTTACTGATATACACTGACAGAAGCTTGTGCTTTCCCACAGCATGTAACAGAATTGCTGCTGACCACCAAAGATATACACCTTATGGATATTACCATAAGAATTCAGTGAAAATTAACGCCAATGTTTCATCAGTATCAAAATTTTCACAGAAAAACAGTCACAATTTAGGAAGATGAGTAGTGTTGTTAGGAAAAAATAAGATAAGGCACTTATTTTAGATTTTAAACTAATGTAAACTGCATTTCAAGACAGAATATGTTTATATCATTTAAGAAAATATATTTAAAAAGCAGTATCTTTGGATCATTAAATGTGAGAGATTCAGAAAACACACCCACACGAAAGGCAGATCTTTGTACCTTCAGGCTGCAAAAATGAGTCTTCTTTGCCTCATAAGCATCCAAAGAAAACAGCAGATATAGATGGGAAAAAAATAAAAGGTCCAGACCCCCAGACTGAAACAATCATCTACATGATACAAATTTCTAGGCATCACTGTCACCTCTCTGCAATATAATCAACACTGCAGTTAAAAACAAGTTCAAACAGGAATAAAGGAAAGTCTGATGCCTTCTTACTGTCTCAAATTAATAAACAATATCTGCATACGGAAAAATTGGGAAGAAAGCCCCACAAAATCATACACAATTTAAACTATCACCTGCCATGGAGTCAATATATAAAGTTCTGAATTCTGACAGGGAATAACTTTCACACTTAGAAAACAAACAAAAAGAGAACAGGAGAAAACAAACACCTGCAGCCAAGGGAAAAAAAGAACAGAAGCAACAACTTGCAAACCAATTAGTTTGCAGAAGCCCTGAAGTATCCAGAGTATTGAACTGATGGAATTACACTGGAAGAAATGTAAGGTACTGAAAATAACAAATAATTAGCTCATTTTGGCTGCTATTGTCAATGATATTAATACAGGAACAACACAAACAAGACAAGCAGACAATATACATAGAAACAAAAAAAAGCAGAAATTTCCATTATCTCAAACAATCATTACTTAAAACATTGTTATATGTGTTACGTGCAATGGAGATTAAAAAGAAATATAATTGATAACAACTGACACTGTGACTAAGAATGGATGTTATTTCTAACAGAGAAGTAAGCTAAGAATGGTACTGGCTAAGAAGCATCATTTTTATTCTTCCAGAAGTTGTCGCTTGCTTTTTCCAAACAGTTGTAGCCTTATTTTCCCAGCATTTCAATGATGACTCACGATATTCCATAAATAGTTTATATGAGGTGTTCTTCCTCTATAAATTGAATCCTATTTAATTTTAAATCATTCCCTTATTAAAAAACAAATATATTTTAATCTGATTGACAGTTACCCCACAGTTGGCTTTTTGTATCATTTATTTCTAATAACTATTTTTGTTACCAGTTCACACAGCAAAATAGCTACAGATTTTGATCAGAAACAGACTTCAAGATAAATACAACTGGCTTTTTAATCAAAGAGCAGTACAAAGTCGCATAAAGCATGAAGGACCAAACAGGTTCTCACATAACTCTCTATCCTCACTGCATATTCTGTTCAGTTTTTTCAGCATTTTCTATCAAAGAAAATGGCAGAGTTTGTCTTGCTTTCATCACTAGGCACCCGCAGCATCATCCACACCATCACAGAATCACACATTTCTTCTTTGCAGACAGACGCAACATCATGCAGGAGTGAAGGAGGATGCCCTTTTAGAACGTGACACTCCCCAAATAAAGGAGAGAAGCAATCCTATCTTAGGTAAGTTCTCCCACAATGGACCAAATGTTGCTCCAAAAGTAATGCCTCCTATTTATTTCCACAGAAACTACAACAATTAAAAAGAGCATAACAGCACTACTTGATGGACCAACTTCTCAGCCACAAGCCACTGTTTTTCAACACTGTCACCACCATTAGTTATGCCAGTGATGAACAAGAGCCTGCACGCTGTGCTCATAAAAATCTGTACCTGCAGAGATGACCAACTGCTGCTGTCACCACTGCTCAAGTGCACCACCCAACACTGTTTGGTCTCCATAAACATTCAGCAAGCATCAATAAATGTCAGTGGGTTGCCTCAGATAGGAATTCAGTGACACACCTTTGCTTCACACACACTTCCATGTCAGATGCCATTATGTCAGACTGCTCTCTGCTGCCATTCTCACATGGCAACAACACAGAATGGGATACTGGTGGGAAGGTTCAGCCTCTACCACCATCTGCCTCTGACGTCATGGGCCAACTCAAGAAAACTGAAGGCAAAACTGAAGGCAGAGCAACCCTCATAATTAATGGAAAAATTGGTGGCTGCAGAACATTGCTCCAGCTGTATCAATTTAATTTGATTTTTAAAAATATTTTAAGGCACAGATCACTGCATCTTCTTATTCTATCAGTCTGCTGGTATGCCCCCCCCCCCCTCCCCCCAAAAGCCTGATTAAAGTAGTCAAAATTCTATTTCAAATAAATGGAATAGTGGAAAAATAACCTAAGTTTCTAGGACTACAATTAGTAACGAGCAACTATTAAACAGACTTGTTCTATAAAATTATGGGGCTGGATAGCAACTAGGAGTATTCACTGTAGGAGACAAAAAAGCATAGATAACTAATAACTGGAAGGAGAAATGGAAACTGACTGTAAAATCATGAAGGCACATGTAGGAATATAGCTTGAAAGGATTATGATACTGTATTTTATACAGGTACTAACTACAAGATAATATTGTTGTTTTCAGGCATTATATTTTCTATTAGATATTCATTCATTATATTTTGAGAGATGCCAAACTGTTTTTTGTTGGAATGAAAAAAAGGACCATTTTTAAAAATCCAAATAGGTACATTTTTATTAACTTCCATTTTAACAATGCAAGACAATACCCACTATTCAGAAATAACTTCCTACAGTTTCTGAAGATGCTTTGAAAAAACAGGATGAAACATCTACCTTAAACAGAATGCATTTCCATTTTTTCTTCCTTTTAACAACAAAACTTTCCTAGGATAAAATTTAATTCTTTCTTATTTTTGCATTTTTAAACACTGCAACAAATTGAAAAGAATTCATCAAATTTGCACATCAAATTGAAGCTATTCACAGTAAAAATAATCATACTCTGAAAGAAAAAAAGGCACGTACCTGGCAAAACCTAGTGGTGGACAAATCGTTGGTTCTTCAAACCTGGGGTGCCATGGTGGGCTTTGAATGATTTCTTGAGGCAACACTTTCATTTCAACTAAAACAAGTAAACAAAACCCCAATTATTTGAAATAATATTTTCACAATGATCTAGTTTCCTTTTTACCACTTTTCAATTAAATCTTTCATTTTCACTGCATCACATATAATACTGCCGTCCAGTTCCACGCCAATCTGTTTGGGCCTCAGCATGGCTTCATGAGGACGCAATGCTTAAGAATAGATATAACCTTAAGGTCAGTAGTTTTCTTTCTTTCATTGGAGTGCTTTTAATCTACATAGAAACAACCAGTGCAGGCATCTTACTTGCATGTAATTCCCTGTGCTTCCTCAAGCTAGGTATGCCCAAATGTTAACAAGCTATGCTGGTACATAAGGTGAAGAAATGACTGAACATGCAACGTGCAATGCAACAAAAGGCAGTGAATTAATGTTCAAAATAATACATAACTGTCCCAATAACAAGCATGTGAGTAGAAAAATCCAAGTAATTCTATACACGCAACATAGGATTTTACTTAAAACAAAAGCAGAAAGCCCCAGTTATGTAGAATTGTCTAGCTTGTCATTCTGAAGTACATAAATGCTAATAGGACTTCTTTGTCATAGAGAGCTACTGTGTTTTTTCCCCAAGTATTCAGCCTCCACTTCCTACCATTAAAGTTTCAGCTGCCAGTTCCTTCATTTTGCATGTCTGTGATCTGAGGACGTTAGCAGCAGGAGCACCCTCACTTTTAAATTTGGTTTAATGTAGGTATTGCATGTCCTGCTGGTAGGCCCCAAGGCAGAAACTTTTAATAGGGACGGGAAAATAGAATATGAGGGGGGGGAGGAGGAGAGGAAAGAAGAGGAAGAAGTTAACTATTTGCTGCATTTAGAGGAAGAAAATTCCTTTTGTAGGAATGGAATGATAGATACAAGTCAACTTAATCAGTATCAGAGTAGAAGAATATTTTATTTATCAGCCTTTCTGTGAATGAAAGCCATTTCACTGATGAAATATTTTGCTACGTTTATTATGACGCTTTTTTTTCCTTTTAATTTTTTAAGTTGTTACTTAGAACGGAATAGCAATAAACTACGGGTTGAAAAGATGTCAGAATATAGTTAATTCCTCTGAGTCGCACTTTTAGGGCTTGTAGTCCTAAATTTGTTACAGAAAAAAAACCAAAACATTATACAACTTACAATTGGAGGCAGCATCATTTTACAAAAGTGTGTCATTGGGGAAAAAAAATGATTACAAAAATGAAAACAAAGTCTACAAAAAGCACTGGTATCTCATCACTGCACAAAATTACACTTGTTACAGAAAGTGCAGATTTGCATCCACACACAACACAGAAAGGGAGATCTCTGCTAAGGAAAGTGCTATTCATTGAGGAACGACAAGTAAACTTTATACCAACACCATAGCCCAGAGAAAAAGCAAAGCCTGCTGCAAGCCCCTTACTTTTGGAGCACGCCTCAATCGCAGCCGCACAGTCTGGCAAGCAAGAGAACTGACTGCAGGCAGCGGTGGGACAGGGCAGGCAGGGGGCTCAGAAGCACCGAGCCAGGAGCGGCTGCACCCCCACAGGCTACCGGCTGGCTTGACTGGCTACGAGACAGGTGCGTTCATCTTTCTCCCTAGCTCATTAACCACCTGCGGACCCGAAGCGTTTTCCTGCAACGCTGCTTCAGCCCCTCCGAAAAAAAAAAACAACCCAGAACTTTCTAAAGACACGAACGTCCACTGCAGCACGGCCAACAGCGGCCGTTTGGCCCCGGCCCCCCCGGCGAAATAGCGGACCGCCCCGCGAGGACGGCGGGGGAGGAGAAGGGGTCGCGGACGGCGCGTCCCCTCGCGTCGAACCTGAAAAGCAGCGGCGCGGAGCCTCCATCCCGAGCAGAGCGCGGCGGCCCTGCAGCCTTACGGTGCCGACGCTCCCGGCCCAGCCATGGCAACGGGGGCGGGCGGTGCCGAGGGTGGAAGCGAGCGGTGAGAGGCTGCCGAGAGAGCGACTAAGCCTGAGTTAGACCTTATGAGCTCCGGAAGATGTGAGAACCCAGCGCAGCTGACGGTTTTTAACATTAACTCGTCTCGGACTAGAGGTTCACAGCTGTGAATGACTTGTATTTTGTTTCAGGACCTTTTCAGACGGTCCTTCAGGCCTATCGAGTAATAGGAAACAAAAAGCATATAAGCCCAGATTTAATCTAAGCAAATGGCGTGAAGATTTTGGGTTTGTGGAAAACCCTGTCACTGTCTATGGTGAGAGCCTGCTGTCTGCAACAGAAGAACTCTTCTACTGATCAGCTAAGGAGTCTGACAGCTTACAGGAAATAGAACTAGCAAGAAGGAACCAATGAAGATTTGGTAAATGTGGATGAAAAAGAGAAACCATAATCAGGACACCAAAGAATACAAAGAGCAGAGATTTTTCAGTCACTTATCACCAGTGGAAGAGGTCATTTAGTAGCACAGATCTGACCCAGTTTTTATTGCTAAAACTGGAAAACTGGCATGTCAAAATCAATTGTTATAATCTACTTTGGAAGGATCGAGTGGATAAAAAGCTCTTCAGAGATGGCATTACCTGTTTCTGAGTTGATGTCAATCGGAAGCACCTGATCTTGAATGTTTATGGGTCAGTGTTCTAATGGATAAGCCAGAAATTGACAGGGTACTTAGCCATTAAATCACACTAGAGAACAGCAGGAACTATGCCTTACCTGTCTACAGCATATAGGGAAAACATTCCTGTACCATGATGAATTTCACGTGCTAGAGATCTCATACTGCTGGTGTTAAAAAGTACTTGGAATTTCAAAATATTTTAAGAGTCATTTCCTAACTTAAGAAGTGTTGCACTCACCAGAAGGAAATTCTATATTAGACCTCATATAGACACATAAAAAGGAATTGAACACAGAGCTAGAAATTAGTCATGGCTTAGATATAACTGATAATTATTTGATCACATTTGTTACACGCAAACAGAATTAAGTCCAAACCAATAATATACATGCTTCATGCGTTGGAAGGCATAATTTTATAAAGGTGAAGACCGCTGTAAAATAAGTCTTTGGGAGAAAGAACTGAACCTGAGATGGGAGAATATTAATTGTAAACTGTAAGGATGTTAGCCAAGATACTCCTAAAGTCATCGTCCTGTGATGAAGGAAAACATTTGCCAAACAGATAGGGTTTGATTACAAAGAAAACATCTCAAAACAGAAGCTGTCTAGTATAACAGATGTACATTGTAAGTTAGAAATTGTAGAGAATGACTGAGTTGTAAAAGGTTTAAAAGGAATAAATAAATAAATACAAAACAATTAAACTGAAGAAAATCTGAGGGTTTTCTTCTGTGTTTTTTTTCTTCTTTTTTTCTTTTCTCAGGAGTAGAAGATAGAAAACGGTCTAAATGATGAAACATCCCTATGAAGTGATGAAGATGTTGACTTTAACCATGACAGACTTGGGAAGTTAAAACACAGGAATGAGGAATGTGAGGGTGGCAGCCCTGAGCATGCTACCAGGCACCAATCAGTGTACAAAGAAGTGCAAAGTACACAAAAAGTACAAAACAGTGCCGGCTGCTCTGGGCTGCAGGTGGAGATCTGACCTGAGGATGATGGAACAGGGATAATCTCTAAAATATCCAGGTTTTCTTCCATCAATATTCCTCTTACTCCCATTCCTCTTTTTATCCCTTCTCCTGGGATAAAAAGAGGTCAACAGGGAGATTCTTCAACTCTGTGAGACCTTGCATGGCATATTGAGCTAGGTACTGATTGGATTGATCTTTAAACAAAAGTTAGCTGTGGGACCAGTGTTATTTTTCATACCAAATAAAATACACAAAATCTTCAAAAAAACAGACGATTTCTGCAGGCAAATCCTGTAAGGTTTTACAATCAATATTTCTAGACAAAATTTTATTTTTTGTGTGTGAGCTCTCTCAAAACCAAATAGCCAGAAACCTACTGCCTCTCAAAACAGATAATCTTTCCAAAAATAATTACTTCCTATGCATTTTTTCCTTACACATGAGATGTAAACTGCATTTCTACCTTTCTGATAATCACATGCAAGAGAAATACGTATGTAGTACTACCTGTAGGTAGCAATCATAGGCCCAAACCATAAATGGTTTTCTCTTGCACACAAAAGGAGCCATTTCCTGAAGTACGTTATAAGGTTTTTCTTTCATAGTAGATTCTTCAAGACTCTTTATATGTTTTACTCACTCTGTAAGTGATACCCTTCTTGTTTCTTTAGAGATGAGCATGAGGAACTTTTGGACCAAATCGCTAACATGGAGCCCAGTTCTGCTGTGTGTTGATCAGCTTCCTGGTCAGCAGGCAATAGTGCTGCCGCAACACTTGATAGTTAGATGCTAGCATAAAGCTAGCATTTGAATACACAAGCAGGGTAACCACATCATAAATAGGGGCCCTAATAAGATCCTTTACACAAGTCTTGCCTTTCATTGCAAGGAAGGCTGTCTCAGACAAGACCCAGTTGCTTTCTTTGACAGCAACGAATGACTTTTGAATATAAAAGTTATGTTTCCCATTAGAGCCATCAATTTTAATTTTGGAGTTGTCTTGTGTGGCTAGTCTGGATTATCTAGCTCTGATTTTTCTCTTCATGGTAAATACACATTTAGATCTGGATAAGTAGAATCACACTGACTAGAGATTTCCAGTGTTCTTAACAGAGCATACAGTTACAGCATACGTACAATTTAAGCAGCCTCAGTAATGTCTCTACATCACATATCTCCTTTTTTCAGCTTTCTATTTGAGTGATGAGATGGAGACAGCAGTAATGATAAAGATCAAACAAACTTACAGTGTAAAAGTTATTGTAAGGATCACTAGTCTTGCTGTTCATTATATACACTTTATGCATCAATATACTAGATCACTGCCAAGTTCCACTGCTGGCACAATAGGCTTAGGAAAGATCCAAATATTTCTAAGAAAATGCACATCTCCAAAATCTTTGTTTCACATTCCTAGTCATGTTTCATCTCACTGTAGCTTGTAGCTGGACCTTAAACAGAAGTCTTCCAAGGTAATATTAGAGCTAAAGGATTAGATATCATAAGCCATTTCTTTATCAGGCTTTCAATTTCTCTCTGTTTATATAATTTAAATACTACAGTGGAAAACTAAAAAAAAAAAAAAAAAAAATAGAACTGTATTAACACTGCTCTAACACATTGGTGACCATTTATTTATATGTTGTGTATTTATATGTTTATTCACTTAAAAGAAAAGCATTCATATTGCTAACAACTTGCTAACATAAGTAGCAACCCTCCAAAGGTTAGCTCTAAAGAAACAGGTCTGAGGACTGATACAGTTAAGAGGAAGATAAATAAAAATATGATTATGTTTTGCTAACAAGCAATGGTTATTTCAGGAACAATCCTGTGTAAATACTTATGAAAGTATGGAATGTATCTGGGTGGGAATTAGGAGTGCAGATGCACATCAAAAACTGAGCAGACATATACACACTTTATATATATACAAGTAGCATTTCCTCAGCCTTGAAGACTAGAATGGGCAAAAGTTTCTCTTAAGGTGTTGTTATTCTGCATGTCTAGAAGTGTGTGTTTTCCATGATTCCAAAGTGGGTAGTAACATTTATTTGTATTCATGGAAGTACCAGAGATACTGCCCTTCAGTTCTATGACTGTTACAAATGAGGATAGAATTCACAGCAGCCTGATAAATCTCTGAAGTATCTAAACCAGTATTTCCTTAACCTGAGACACATGTAGGAAAATCAGAGTTGGCACTATACAAAGATTTTGTCATTTGTTTGAGATCATTCAATATACTTATTCACAAATGGTGGAACAGCAAGTATCGCTGTTTTCTAAAACTCATGCTGTTAAGTCTTCCATGCCATGCCATTGTTGGTCCTATATTCTACCTGTGATAGAGTGAAAACTGTTCCAGCATGCTGTTCTGTTCTCTCTTTCCCCCTCCCATTCACCCCCTCCAACACTTTGTGTACCTGTAAGATATCCCATTAACATCTGATCCTGGTTCTGTAATTGTGTTTACCTATTTCAGATATTCTTATTCATACCCTTTTAGGTAAGCCTCAGATGGACTTTTACCTACTTAAATATTTGTAGGATTACCAATTGAATTTGCTTTACCAATCTAGAAATACCTGTGAGAAGTTGATCAAACCACATCACCAACTTGGCTCAAAAGTACAACTTTTTTCATCAGCATAACAGTATCTATGTGGCATGCAGCTTATCATCACGAATTATGGGGGAGAAGGATAAACAACCCATTAAGAAATTAAAGGCCCACAAAGGTGCAGTTTGATAAAGGATAAAAAAAACCCCACAGGGTACATATAATAAGATCTCTCCCCTGAAGAGTGATTGTTATCTTTCTTTCATGAACGTCAAAGACCTGGAGCTTCTCAGTGCCTCAGGCAAGCGAGTTTGAAGGTCTCCTTCATGACTGAATAGAAAATAGTAATCAGAATTTACTTCAAGACTATTTATTCTGTAGAGCACTTAAAAAAATGTTTTATGTGTAGAACTTTTGATATTAACAACCGACAGAAACAGCCACCTTATTATGAAACTCTACTGCATTTATTGCATTCAGTGTGTCATCATCTATTTAATCTAGCATATGTGTTTTTTTTCCATGGAACATGAAAAAAACAGAGCTAAACAGCTCTGCTTGATACTGTTATTCCCATTTAATTTGTGCAGTCTTCAGTCTGTAGTAAATGAAAGCCTCCGCAAAAGGAGAGTGACTTACAGATGAAGATATCTTCGCAACCCCAAGAGAAATAAGTTGTTATTAAATGTTTTCATTCCTTAAGACAAAATATACAGACAATATCCTTAATGTATTACAGCTAATAAAATACACCCTTTTTATACTAATAAAAGGGAGTATTATTTACAGTCTTTCAGCTTCCTCTGAGTGCATTTCTTGATTGTACCCATGGTATGACTGGTCGCTGAGCCAGGGCCTAACCAAATAAAAGGAGAAGCAGTCAAAAAGAATGACTTAAGTGATGACAATAGAAACATCCTGCAGTTACTTTCCTTCTGATAGATCACACTAAAATTGGTGGAAAAAAATTATTTGACATCACCTTAATTGTGCTGAATATACACATATATTTCCCAATAAGTTGCATATCTGAAGTTTTGCATTTATTTGTATTGCTACTGAGCTCCTTCCATTATTGTTTTCTAGTTCTAATCGCAACCATTGATCATCTCTCATCTTAAACTAGATTGTAAGCAGTGACACAGACAAGTAATAGCATATTATTCATAGATAATGCTTTATAATCCAGCCTAGCCCAGAGACATTTGGGCACTACTGTAGTGGAAATGATAAATGACAATACGTTAGCTGCATACAACAAATGTCTATGGAGATCTGAAATTCTCCTTTTAGCTGATTTCAGCAGTGTGCTCTTGTGGCCAAGAGGGCCAATGGCATCCTGGGATGCATTAAAAAGAGCGTGGCCAGCAGGTCGAGGGAGGTGATCCTCCCCCTCTACTCTGCCCTGGTGAGGCCTCATCTGGAGTACTGCGTCCAGATCTGGGCTCCTCAGTACAAAAAAGACAGGGATCTCTTGGAAAGAGTTCAGCGGAGGGCCACAAAGATGGTGAAGGGCCTGGAGCATCTCTCCTATGAGGAAAGGCTGAGTGAACTGGGTCTGTTCAGCCTTGAGAAAAGAAGACTGAGAGGGGACCTGATCCAGGTCTATAAATATCTAAGGTGTGGGGGGCAGAATGGCGAGGCCAGACTCGTTTCAGTGGTGAGTGGAGACAGGAAGAGGGGAAATGGCCGCAAACTGCAGCATAGGAAGTTCTGCACAAATGTGCGCAAGAACTTCTTTGCAGTGAGGTGACGGAGCACTGGAACAGGCTGCCCAGGGAGGTGGTGGAGTTTCCTTCTCTGGAGATGTTCAAGACCTGCCTGGATGCCCACCTGTGTGACCTGCTGTAGGGAACCTGCTTTGGCAGGGGGGTTGGACTCCGTGATTCAGGAATGCCGTCAGTGACAGCCTGCATTGTCTTTGGCCTCCTCCCTCTCGACCGGTTATTTATGTAACGTGTTGAGGTGGAAAAGCACCCAGTGGAGGCTTACCTACATTTTCAATGCTTGCCTACAGAGATTCATAACGTTAGAGTAGCTGAAGCAAAAAAGACATGTCAAGTTAGCATCCAGGATAAAAATCTGGTGGTGTTGTTACATAGTCCTAAGACTTTAAGTGTATCATGCTAGAGATAGTTGAAATCCTTGGGGGCAGGAGGTCTGTGGATTAATGGATGTTTTCCTCCCCTGTAAATTCCTTTGTATCTGTAAGGCTAAGAGGTGTTGCTCTGTAGGCAAAGCAGAACTTGAAGCTGAAATTTGGGAACTGCTTCAGAGATGAAAAGCGCTATGAGAACATATACTTCCACTCCAGGTACTTATGGGTACTTACGTTCAAATGGAAATTGAAGTTATACAATGTGATAAAAGCATTGCATGATATAAATGTAATTTCATATCTGTACCAAATTTGTTTTGTGAAAGTTTCTCATGTACTAGATGGTTATCAACCAGCCACAAAAGTGATACTGAAATTCTAATGGAATTTTAACATTCCCTCTAAGTGGCATGAATATAGGCTTCATTTATTAATTGTAGCTGATTAGCCACAAGGCAAACATTTAATTAAACCTTGGGAGACAATAACATTGCACATAAATTATCTATTTAAGAGCACATAGGTCTTTATATTTCATTAAAAATTGTTTAACCAATAACTACACATCTTAAGCTCAATCTGTGTTTGTGCAGATTTAAAACCAGAAAATCCCCTAGTGCATTGCTGGTTTTTTTCCAGACATTTATTTCTTGATGCTTTCTGATTTGTATTTACTTACCACTTGTTCGTGCTGCTTTCCCGATTAGTGAGACTGTCACTCAAGTTGTGGATTAACTATTGATTAAAGAAGTCCAACCACATTATTTACTTTCTAAATAACTTCAGAACACTCTAAAAAGTACAAATAGGTGTTCACGGGATGGTTAAAAGTAAAAAAAAAAGAAACAGAAGAAATACAGTGCAATGCAGCCATACATTGAAGAATTCTGATTTGAATTATTTTTGTCAGTTGATCAGAAAATCAGTTGATTTTCAGAAATTTAAATTATTTAATAAATTAGTACTATTAGGCATTAAAACAAAATACTCACTCCTGTAACAGATGTTCTTGACAGAAATTGCCCAGCTTAAGAAAATGAAGTCCACCAAGGAAGCCAATACGAGGCCCTCCACTATCCCAAGCCAGCCTCCTAGTCTTCAAGTGTTCTGTTTTGTTTCTGGAAAAGAGTTTTATTTCAGGTTCAGAAAGCAGAGGAAACACCAGCTAGAAATCAATTATCAAATAAAAGTAGGCAGACAAAAAAAAAAAAAAATCCGAAATACAGTAGATTTGCAAACTGCCTGTATGTCTGTGAAGTTAAATGTAGGTTACTCTGTTCATGTACAAAGATATTTAGATGGCAAATGGAAACTAGCTGCTGTGAAGCATACCACATTCATATATAATTAAAGCACCCAAGAGTAAAATAGTGATGCACAATAGGTGACAACTGATAAAAACAAGGGAAGAAGTATAAAAAAGGATACAAAACCCTGGGGATTATAGAGAATATCTAATACAAGCTGAAGATCTTATGACTGTGTCCAAATTACCAGATAATATAAAAATATTAACAGAACTACTGGAGCCTGCAAATGCAGTGAGACCCTGCCAACATACAGAGCTTCTCAAGCAAATCAGGTTGCAGCATTTCTTGGAAGAATAGTTTCACTCACCTGCTATGGATCTGCCTAAAAACAACAACAACAACAACAACAACAAAAAACCCACAAAAAAACAACAACCATTCAGATTTGGACAAACCCTGCAGTTTTTCTGAGAGCTTATCTAATCAAATAACACCTTGTGGAGTAAGAAATTGAAGACAGTGGCTGGCAGAGGCAGTTTAGGAGTATAAACCCTAGAAAAGACATATTGATGCTTAAACACGTGAACTTGGATATGTGTGTAGTTGCAGCAGGCTTTAACATAAATGCCTTTGTTTTGTAGTGATCTCGTAGCCAAAACCATTAAGTTCTTTCCTGAATGCAAAACAGGAGTTTGTATGAGAGAATTTGTTATGATTTAGGCTCTGGGAGAGCATCTTTATTGAGAAAAAGTTTTCTTGCCATGGATTCTTCTTACACACATACAGCATTTTCACACCAGAATTTCCTCAGATTTGAACAGATTGGGTATACTCTATTCCTTGCTATATCTAGAAAATCAATTGCCTTCAAATATACAGGCTTTCTGAATTTTATGTGCCTCAACCCCAGAAAGAAGACAGGACAATGCTAATAGCTCCTCTCTCGGGCCACCCTAATCTTTGCTACAGTTACGTCATAACATTGTTACTCTTCAACTTCATCCTAGATGTTGCTAGATATTCACAATTAATGATTCTTTGTTTCAACAATGTCATTTAACAGTTTCAGCTGAATACACTGCATCTCTGTCTGATAACAAGGTGAACTAAAATTTCAGTTCAGTGCTAGTGCTCAGCTGGGAGGAGGATTGAGGCAGTTTCCAAGATAATTTGAGTTTACTACAAGCAAGATTAACCTGCAATAAAATTCAACATTATCTCCTGCTGGATGATGTGCTGTAATGTTAGCATCCACGTGCTTTTGATTTTGAAATTGTTAAGAGGCACTTCTGGTCCCCACAACCCAGCATTCAGCCAGAGTGTACCTGTGCCTCTGATTGATGAAGCAGCTGAGAAAGCCACAGGACAACATCCCAAAATAAGGCATGTCTCACTGCCAGAGGTGCTCAGTCTGATGGATTTGGGTGCTTCTTTGAGCTTTCAGGGTATTAGTACATCTTAATTTCCTGTAGATTAATTTGCATAGGTTCTTAAAATATGGCAGCAGAGAAACTTGATGACTGAAGAGTGTGAAAGACACCACACATCCTAAAACTGATAATACCTAATTTTAACACCATGAAGAGCCAAACAAAAAAAGTGACACTCAGATAACTGGATTGTTTTCAAGCAGATATGTTTCTAAATACCAGCTCCTTTACAGCTAATTTGTTATTATTCATCAGACAGGGATCTCTTGGAAAGAGTCCAGCAGAGGGCCACGAAGATGGTGAAGGGCCTGGAGCATCTCTCCTATGAGGAAAGGCTGAGTGAACTGGGTCTGTTCAGCCTTGAGAAAAGAAGACTGAGAGGGGACCTGATCCAGGTCTATAAATATCTAAGGTGTGGGGGGCAGAATGGCGAGGCCAGACTCGTTTCAGTGGTGAGTGGAGACAGGAAGAGGGGAAATGGCCGCAAACTGCAGCATAGGAAGTTCTGCACAAATGTGCGCAAGAACTTCTTTGCAGTGAGGTGACGGAGCACTGGAACAGGCTGCCCAGGGAGGTGGTGGAGTCTCCTTCTCTGGAGATGTTCAAGACCTGCCTGGATGCCCACCTGTGTGACCTGCTGTAGGGAACCTGCTTTGGCAGGGGGGTTGGACTCGATGATCTCTGGAGGTCCCTTCCAACCCCTACAAATCTGTGATTCTCTGACTCATAGCTCAGTGAGCCTTTTTCCTATAGGAGCAGGTCTCCCTTTCCCTCCCCCCCCCCCCCCCTTTTTTTTTTTTTTTTTTTTTTTCCTTTTTCCATTCCTTCTTTATCTTAGTAAATTTTTCTCAGTAACTTTATATCATCTTTTGAACAGGGGCAAAATTCTGTATCCACAGAGAGAGGGCGAAAACCAGGAGGATTGCAGGGACACACAGAGACTTTGGAAATTTAGTACACAGCACATTTTACTGCTTTATGGCACAGCCATGCACATAGGGAAGTGTGAGATCAACACTTATGTGGTGCTCCTATGAACACCTGACTTTTGCTTTGGTTTTGGAAGTAATAATCACTAAAATAATTAACTAGGGATGACTTTTTTTCCATTCTGGATAAGATGTACTTAAGGTCCATTTGTCTCAAATTACTTTTTTATGCACATCACTTGCTTTCCCACATAAGTTTTGTACCTTAAATAGTTCTGCATCTTTCCTGCACACATCCACGGTGTTTGGTCAGTATTTTCTTTCAGGCATCTTAAGAGGTACAAAGAGCTGACATCAGGTGTCAGTTTGCATATCCTTTTTTGATTCCAGCCTTGTGCTCTGATTCAGGCATTCCCACTGCTTATTCCAGTTACATCTTTTGAACTTCCTGCTGCTGTATAAATAATTGGATACCTTGCTCTGTCTTTTTCTATACGGAGTAAATGTGCTGCTCCTGGGTTGTAAGTACAGTCTACAGTCAGACCTTATGCAGTATTTATGCGTGTCTTTCCAGAAAGATTATTCTGATGTTAATTTAGGCCACTTAAGAGCAGTCAGCCATCACTAGTAAATTAAAACCTGTAAACGTATCAGATCTATTATGGCATATTTTTCAAAACGGTGACAACTAACAACTAAATGATGTGTGACTAACACGTCAGCCCCCACCCAGCCCATCACAAACACTTCTCAAATCCTGTCAGTGACATTCAAGTTTGCAATTTTTATGGTTTCATTTCTGTGAACTTTCCCAGGGTTCTGCTATTTATGAAATGGAAATACCTCAGGAAGGTTGGGGTTGATGTAAAATGTAACAGTAAGAAAAAAAGATCGTTAGACACACAACTTTTTCTACTTTGTTAGCCAAAAATTTGCAGGCACAACTAGTAGATAATCTGAAATTTGATTCGATATATTATTTCGTGAAGACCACCGAGTTTAACATTTCAAAGCAGTTTCAGAATTATGGACTGAAATGCCATTTGTAATTGCCCCAGTGGAATAATCAGAAGTTGTACGTTACACTGTTGCTGCAGCATTAGTAAAAGGAAGCAAAGAATGACCGTGTAATAAAAAGTTAAAGTTCTGTGTTTATTTTCCAGTGACATCATTAATACAGCCATGCAAATAACTCTAGTAACGTGGACATGCAAACCTCTCAGTTTGTTTTACTTTTTTTCCACAGTTATGTATTATTCATGTTGTATTAGTGCACGCACTGTTTATTTCCCTAATTGTAACAAGCACTTAATTAATTACACTATAACCTCTTGAATCTACAGGCCAACTGTTGCATCTTTAGTTAATATTTTAAAGTCTCATCTTTTTCCACTTTTTCTCACGTCTTTGATGTTTTGTTTCTTACCCTTCTTGTTTGGGTTCTCTGTGGAATAGTCTTAGAATAATCCTGCAGTTCTCTTTTATGACCGAAACTTTGCATTTTAACAGTTATCTGGAGATACTTTCTTCCTTGTGAAATATCAGTTTTAATAACAAGAAAAGAAAAATGCCATAAATCCGCACTAACCACATAAAGCTGAAGTCTCTGAGAGACTGATTAACATTGAGACTCTACACAGGTTTTTCAATAATTAGAGGATGTGCTTGCATGGAGCCATGACTACGCTGGCCTTGATGCCATTTCCCAGGGCAGACAGCAATTATTATAGCCCACAGTAAATTTCCTACATTCTCTGCCTCCAGCCACTGAAGATCTTTTTGGAGTAAAGGTCTCTTAACTTTCCACACTCTTGTCATCAGCTTGGATTACCAATGTGTTCTGCTTATTTTCATCAGCTGGCTTAGAAACAACTCACAACTGCTTTTCTACTGCAGTGTTTTCTCTACATTTGAAGAGATCAGGATCATAGCTTTAATTACATTAACACAGCAAATAACAGTCCTAGCGTTTTCAGCAGGGTGTCCAGAACCAAACTGTTTCCACTATATTTGGACTCAAGTGAGTAGTCCCCACTCAGCACTGACCACTTTTCTGATGTAGATTATATTTATTTATTGTTCTTAGATTTTATCACTTCCATGTTTCACAGATAAATTATTAATTGTGGTGGAGATCTCCTTCTTCTACAATATAGTCACGCCTGTGTTGACACATATTCAGTAGTTATTTCAACACTGAATTTTATCGTGATAAAACAACACAAAAAAACTTCACCTAATGTAACATTAATTACCAATAACCTATAATTAGGGCTAGTCAAATAAACAACAGCTTTTTAAAATTAAGTGTTTCTACTACTCTTTAATTATACAAGCGTACAATCAATAGGTGCACAAAGGTTAGGATTAGTAAGATTATTACGACGAAAAGATAATCAAAACAAATGGAAATACTCACCAGTGTCATAGGCTCACAGTAAACCCCACAAAGAGCAATCTCCACAAAAAAATCTTTCCTCTATAGTAGTCAGCACTTACATGGAGTCTA